CTCCCTCTCTCTATCTCTCTCACTCTCTTCCTCTCTCTTTTCTCGTTAATGTCTTTCACTCCCAATTTGACGGGCCACTTCGAGTAATCCAGTTGATCTGATAGCTGCCTCTTGCTCTGTCTCCTCCCCTCTTTCTCTCTTCCTTCCCATCTCGCTGTCTTTCATCTTTTCGTTTTGTAATCGTTATGATTATTGTTATTGCTCTGCAGCGCGCTGATAAAAATTGTTTATTGGCCAGTGTTCAATTTGTTATCGTTATTGTAATCGCTATCGCTATCATTAATCGCATTATAGAGGGTATTCAACTCTCTTCTGATATGTATAATGGTAGGTGCATATAGTGTTCTATATATATCTTGATCAAAGTCTACATTAATTTCAATATATATATATATATATATATATATATATAATATAAACTTGACTTTAAGTTACCTTCGTCAAAGCAATTTAATACATCTAAATTTTAATATATTGAAAGCTGCAAACATAATCCCAGGCCGCTGTATAGCTCTCGATGATCCTAAAATATTTACAAAATCAGTTAAGTTTTTCAATATTTAACCCAGATAGAAATAATGCGATGGCCATAAAGTTTTCGTTTCAATGCACAGCTACAGCTACAGCTTCACTCTACAGACGTATTTAGTCTTTTTTTCGTATACTTTGTTTGTTTTGAAATTGGGGCTTTGGGCCCAACAAGCTGTCGCCGTGTACTTTAAGCAACATATGCGTATGTGTGGGTCTTTCGGAAAGACATTTTCTCACGACAGTTACACTCGACTGACTGGCCCAGTATCTGGGCCTCCGTTCATGTAGCTGCTGAAGCTGTATCTGTTTGCCAGCATCTGTAACCGTGCATAAATATCACCTGTCTGTCTCAATGTCTTACTGTCTCGCTGTCTGCGCTTGGGTCTGTGTCTCCATCTGTGACTCTGTGCCGAGTTGTCAGCATTGATTTGTTGGCTTGGCGGCCCCAACTTCCCCCAGTCGAGTTACTTCTATATCATTAGAAACCATTTATCTTGATAAATGTAAATGTTTTACCATATATTTATGTCAACCGTGCGTTGTCTCATTTGGCTTGCATGCGTTTTCCCAGATCTGCGACTTTGCGTTCGATTGGCAAACTTTGGCCGAGCGGCAACCGATGAAGATGTTTTTTGCCAAGCAACTCTATAAACAACTTCATTTGCCATTGGCTATGCACAGAATACACTATTACAAATTTAATTCAGCAATTAATTCAGTTGAGGTTCAATAATTGGATCTTTCTTTTTTTTTTAAGTCTGCATCGTAATAAGTGCATTAACTTTATTTGTTAAGCCCAATTTGTGCTTAATTAGTAGCTTAACGTAATTAGCCATTCGCGCCGCAATTTATTTTCTTTGTTGTTGACTTTTGGCTGGGCCAAAAATAAATATCATTTTCACAAGTTTCCCATTGGCCGACGGCAACAAATGTGGCCAAAAGTGAAAATGTGAAATGCCAAAAGGCTTTTTTAATTAACAACATTAACAAAATGCCACGCCCATACACACACATTCCCATACACCAACTTTGTTCGTAAATAAAAGTTTTCTGTTTTGTTTGCGAAAATTTCCTCTCCACTGTCACTTTATTACAATTTTCTGCGCTGGCACTAAAAATTATGCCACGCCCATAAACGCACTATCTTGATGTCTACCTCTCTCTCTCTCTCTCTCTCTCTCTCTCTCTCTCTCTCTGTGCAGGTTAGCGATAAGTTCCTGGATGCCTACAAGGTCGGCATTATTTATTGGCCCTGCGTGCAAACAGTTAACTTTGCCTTTGTTCCGGCCAGAAATCAGGTAGTTTTCACCTCCTTTTTCAGCATGTGCTGGACCACGTTCCTGGCCTATGTGAAATTCCTGCAGCTGCATCCTCCTGTCGATGTTGACCATCATGCCGTGGACATACACTTTTTGGAGATGTGAAGAGATTGAAGCACATTTAAAATAAACCTAAATAAATATTAACTTTAATTCTAATTATGTTTACAGCTGTATTTTATTTTCGGAAATTCTGTTCTTGGCCTGACCTCACTTAAATTGCCTCTCATTTCGTTTGTTTGTCACTGCGAGCACGTATGTACACACCCTGTATACCCTATAATATACCCTGCACTTAAGGCAGCCATTAATTGTCGCTGATAAATGGATTGTGATAAGTTTTGTTGCTTTAGTTGGAGTCGCGTTATATTATACTACATGTGGCACACTCACACACTCACACACTCAGACAACCCCATTGACTTGGGTCACATTTATTGCCGTTGTTTTTTATCATTTCATATTTTTCTATTTTCTGTTCTGTTCCACACATCATATTAGAGCGACGTCTGTGTCTGCGGCGTGTTTTATGGCGCTCGTGGGAGAGCAAATGGTCTTGGCGGCTGCCACTGGGCACTGCATGGGGCTTAGTTTTAACGATGGTGTCAAGCATTTTACTAGCTAATATGCCAGGGGATATTAAAGAGCTGCACACGACAGAGCTAAGCCAAAGAATGAATACTCTATTAGACAGAGGGATTCATTTCGAATTTTTAATGGGCCACAGTCATGACATAATATGGAGTGAGTCGGCTAAGATTTCAGAGCAGCTGGCAGTAACTGAGCTGGATCAAGATAACTTGAAAAACATAAAAGAGCTTGCTTAGCATAACTTGAAAAACAAAACATGCAGAAACTTATATGACATGTGTGTTAATCTGATATAGTTAATATATTATTTATATGATCTAAGGGTTCATAAAAAATGTAAATGCCAAGCCTAATCTTGATAATTAACAGAAGATAAGAGGTTTTTTTACAAAAAGTACCTTGATGAAAACGTAGGATAACAAATCAAGATTAATGTAGGTAATTTTAGAGCAAACTTAAGTTCTTTATACTTTGCATTCATGGAACACGCTCTGATTAAGTAAAGTTCTTAAGTTCTATCTAAACCCACTTCAATGATAATTGCTTAAAGCAAAGACTAGTTTGAATATTCAATATATTTCATATACATATGTGTGTGTTGTTTGTGTTGTTGTGTATTTGCACATATTAAAAAGATTAATGTATTCGATAGAAATATTATCAGAGAAATAGAAAAGAAAATTGTTCTTTTTCGGAAAAGGAAAATTTTCTTTTTACGAAAAAGAAATTTTTCTGTTCTGTTTAGATAGTACAAGAGAGTTTGAGATAGTTAAATTAGAGCAGATTTTAGGGTAACATCTGACAACTCTGACATATGCATATTTGCAGTCTGCAATCAAGTCGAAAGCTCGAAACGAGAAATCGAAATGAAAGTTCGGCATCAAATTGACCCGTTTTATTCTACATATGCGCGTCAAAGAGCCATATATCAAAATTAATATGGATTTGTGTTTGGTTTGTTTGTATATTTCTCTGTCGCTCTTCGTTTTTTTTTTCGCTTGCTTTTTGGGCTGCATTTAAATGCGAAACCATATTGGGAGAGTATCTGGAGGGGTTTTCAGGGATTCAGAGTGCTCGACATGCGGCGTCTGCGTGCCGAATGCGAGCTGAATGCATAAATAATGCCGATTTAGATTATTCTGAAACAGGCAGGCGAAAATAAAATAAAAAAAAACAATATAAACTACAGTCAAACGATGAGAATGACGAGGATGACAACGCAAATGACGACGACGACGGCGACGACGATGATGGCGACGAGGCTGATAATCAGCCATGGGCTGTTCGAATTAGTATGGAAATTTATGCAAGGCAAGAGGCTGAGGAAAAGCGAAACCGCAAACATACGCACGCACAACCACACAACCACACACACAGCACGCACATGTGAGGTAAAAACTCTCTTATCAGTGGCCATGGAAAACGTGGCGCACTTCCTGATCTCTGTTGTTTCCCTCCCTCTTAGTCGCTCTCTCTCTCACTCACACATCGTCCAGCTGTGAAAAACAATTCGAACTAAAAGTTTCATTAAATTCACCCAGCCACACCCCACTTCACCCCGCTCTGTCGACCGGCGCTGCCTTAGCCGACGCCTGGCAAGGCAATTTCCTATCCACCGAGCGCCCATTTCTCAGTGTCGCTGCAGTTCGCCTTTGTTGTTGTTGTTGTTGTTGCTGTTTTATAGCGCATTAATTTCGAAAGTAGCGCTACGTGTGCCAAAAATCATTAGCAACGGAATTACGCTCAATGAAATGCAGTCAACGTCGCGACGTCTGAGCAGGGGCACGAGAAAGATAGAAAGAGGCAGGGAGAGAGAGAGAGACAGGGCCATCAAACAAACCAACAAAATAAAAGGGGGCAGATAATAAAGCGTGGCCAGGCTGAGGCTGAGCGCTGGGGAACAGCGACGTGGTATTACGGAAAGTTGCGTCGAATGCCTGACGCCCGCCAACCAACCAACCAACAAACCAAGTAAGCAACCAACCTACAGAGCGACCGACCGACCCAGAGCCCATCCCAACGGCAGCCGTTCGCAAAGCGCTGCTTATAAATTCACCCTAACGACAAGTTAAATGCCCAACGTCGAGGGTTCGAGTTTGACTTCTGCCTCGGCGCTGGCAAGGCAGTAAGCGGGGGCGGAGAGGTAACTAATACGAGCACAGGGTAGACCGAAGTGCAAATGTTCTTACTAAATCAAGGTTTAAGATTAACGGGTAATTTGTTTAATTAACTGAAATTAAATAAATAAATTCAAGCAGAATATTAGCAAAATCTGTATATGTAATACATATGTATACATATATTTATGTTTTATGAGATATATGTATATGTTTGAAAATATTTTTAAAATTCTGCTAATATATTGAAGGTTAATGACATTTCAATATTCTAGAATATCATCATATGATATTCTTATCTACTTTTTCTCTGTATTCCACTGTTTAGGTAGATCGGACATAACTGTATAACGAATAAAATATCTTATTGTGTATGTCTATACTTCATTTTGTTACAAATAAAAATTATTTATTAATAACAACAATTGCTTCACAATCTTACCAGTTGTAAGAAACTTTGGCTGGCTTCCACATATCAATGATCCAATTGAGGAAATAAATAATGAAATTATTATTCATGGAGCGAAGGGACATCCTTATTGGCATAGTCAAGGCACAGTTGATGCCTTTACATCCAGTTAAAAACAAAATTTAATCAGCATAATCAGTGGAATTTTCAATTTCCCTGCGGGCCCATCGGGTATACGGCTTGCGGCTGACGTCACAGATTCGGCTCGCTCTTTGCATCGCACCTGAATGCGTTTTCGGGTATCTGGCAACGGCGTAGGAGCGTCTGGAATGCCAGCATAGCCTGTTGATAGTCCCAATTCGTATCTCTCAAGAATCTGCTGCTCCAGCGCAACTTGAGTTGCGTCTCCGCCGACATCAAGGCAGCCAGATTGCTTTGAAGAGGAGTGAGAACGGGCGGCTGCCGTTCGCCGCGGCCAACACGACTGAGATAGATGAGCTCATTGGCTATGCGAAAGTCGGCCGTGTCGTCCTTTCTGGTCAGCACAAAGCTTCGCATATAATGGCGCCGATGGTTGGCCGAGCCATTCTCCTCAAAGCTGCCCGTAATGGAGACGCACAGCATGAGCGGCTGCACTAGAGTCAAGTCCATGGTCATCGTTCCAGGCAAATGCACTGTTGTTGGCCAGGCCGCAAACATATGGAGCGTAGCTTCTCGGCAGGCCAGCAGCTGACGGCTATAGATGGCGTAGGGCGCGGTCCTGTGGAGGAGATAAAAGAAACTTGTAAATCGGAAAACTAAACTAGGCTTCTTTGCTGACTTCACTTACCATGTGCCCAGCATGGCGTGTTCCTTGGCCAGCGTTAGGGAGACCAGCACATGACTTTGATAGAATCGTTGCAGACTTGTGATCCTGTCACCGCCATCGAACGCCTTTATATATCGGCGCACGAACTTCCTGACGCCCATCGGCTTTGGCAGCGTGTGTGAAGCCAGAAACGTGACGCGTGGCTCAGGCAGGACAATTGGCTTGACCTCGGTGACGGAGACTAGCTCCACATCGCTATCGGTATTATGAATACTATCCAGATCGCTTTCGTTGTCGCAGAGGTTGACTGTGGGTACCGAGGGGCTGCGCCTCACGCATCGGCCGTTAAGCATGCACAGAGACGGAAACATGACGAGGACCTGTTGCTCGTAGTTGCGGGGCAGCAGATTCCGCTTGAGCGAGAGCTCGGTGAGATGCAGGCGCTGAAAGACGCGCAGCTCGCGCAGCGTCTTCAGCTCGTTGTGCTGCAGCGAGATCGAGTGTAGGCGTGGCAGTCGCTGATCCACGCCACGAAAGCCGCCCAAATGGCACATATGATTGTTGTCCAGCAGCAGGCGACGCAGCTGCGGAAACTCCCGCTCCATGATGTCAATGGTCGCCTCGAAGCACTCGAACTGCTGCAGCGCACAGAACTCGCCCCTCCACTGGTCATCCGCATAGAAGCGACACAGATTCAAGCAGCGCTTCTTCGCATCGTAGCGGGACATTATCACCTTTCGCAGCTTCCACTTGTACGCCTCGTCCACCTCGATCATGGGCGGTCGATCGTTGACGCGCAGACCCACAACTGGCGGCTGGTGCCCACGCAGCTGCAGCTCTGCGGCCAGCTTGTAGCTATCCACATAGAAGGTGAACGCCGCACGTTTGTCCCGCTCCACATCATGTTCCCCGCCTTCGTGTAAATAGTAATACTTGAGCTTTCGTGGCGCCACAGCCTCACGAAGTTTTTCCATCACCTGCTGCACGGTGTAGCCGCTGTACTGGCTGAAGACCAAGACACGATACCAACCATACGGGCTAATGGGCACGGTGTAGCGCCAATGCGAACGGCGTACCTTGCGGTTATGGCTCGCTGGACTATGGCTGCTTGCCGAGTTCTTTGCGGTGTCTTCAGATGAGTCGGGATTACTACGATCCTTTTTATTCGACATTGTAGCGAGCACGTTTCCAGTTCCTCTAAAATAAGCAAGAAAAGCAAGTAGGTGAAAGCCTGGACTTAAAGCTAAAATTTCATTAAAAGCACAGCAATGCCCTAATTAATAGTCAAGTCGAACATTTTATGAGTCATTGGAGCTCCCTAATTAAATTTCCCTTTTTATTATATTATATATTATATAAAATAAAATAAATATTTTATAGAAATACCTGGATCAAGTTTTTAGCTAATCAATATAAAGTTTCCGTATTAACTGACTGAAAACGAGTCTAGAAATCATAACAGACCAAATTTGATGCTAGACTAAAAGCACACTTAGTTTCACATATTTTTTTTGGGTACAATTTTGTTTCATTGTGAATGCTGAGTGCGGCAATCCCTTGTCCCGTTTCCCAAATGAGCACAGCAAATTCTATGCTAGAGTTTTTTATTCCATTCGTTTTTTTAAGCATCAACATTTTTGCCAATTTATTAGCGCTTACCGCTTCTGCGAACCCTCACACATTTGCCCGCAGATGAGCTCTGTGTCATATTCGCTGTAATTTGCCATACAGAGAGCCCCACTGGAAATGGCACTCCCCCCACCCCTCTACGCTCTCCTCTACAGCATCATGGCCGCATTAAGGCCAAGGGACTCAGTCAGCGCCAGCATCGGAGTCAGCGTTTATACAGGCAACTCTCTTGACCATATGTTACACACATTATGCTTACTTAACAATTAGAGACGCTCTTGTAATTCCAGTAAATTGCTTTGTTCGCCTTCTGTGCCCTCTAAAGAGGAACGAATTGGGTAGTACGAATTTATGAAAATGTTTGTAACAGTTCTCTGAAAACTGAGATCACAATTACATGAATAAATTTTTTAAAAATTCGATTTTATTTTTTATTATCTGAACTTTGAACTAGAAACTCTGTGCATTTATCAATCAATTTATTTATGCAAACAAATTCACGGACATACTAAAAGCTGTAAATTTTACAGTGTTTTTTATTTTATTATCTGGTATTCCAGTTCAATGATCTCTAGCTATAGGATATGCCGGGGTCATGCATTGTCGACATTCATTTTTGTTTCTGCATTAGCGCTTTTGTTTTAGGCTAACATATACCGAGCTTTGAGGGGAGATTGGCACCCTGTGTTCGTACTTATTTTAAGAGCTCTTTGCTCATTGAGCTGAGTGAGCCGAGTGAGCCGTGTGAATGGCAGCGAGTGAGCTTTAAGGACCGATGTCCAACTGGCTTTGATGGCTAAATCACTGTCCAGTGAATAGCAGCAACAACAGCATCATCATCACCGCCATCATCATCGAGTTATGAAAGCCAATACCATGGCGACAATTGGACTGCATCCCACACAGAAAATTGAAACAAATCGAATAGAAAATCTTAGAATTGATCGGCACGACTCAGTTGCCCATAATATATCTGCTGAGATATTAATGATTACATTCAATGCCATTAAATTGGTTTCTCTTGCTTTCGGCCTCAGATAAATTTCTTTATGCTTGATAACTCAGCGTGAACACACAATGTCTCGCCTTAAGCATATCGAACAGAGCAAAATGGACTGATTGCATGACAGGCAGATACACTTAGAGAAATATTCATTTTAGTAGTAGTGACATTTTCACTTACGACTACACATATCCAAAATTATTTTTACAAAAATCTATTAAATAATAAAAATAAGTAAATTACCTTTATTTAAGCTATTATTAAATACTACTAGTAAAATCGATTACGCTAAGGCATAAAAATTAAATTCTTTTCTTTTTTTTTCAAATGTGTTAAAAAATATGTATGTATATATTTATATTAAATTTATACTTATTAAACATATTTGATTTTGAAAATGTGAATTTTTTTTCTCTCAGTGCACATAACTAATTCACATTGGAGGCGTTACTTTCTACCCTGAATGCAGAGCAAACGGCTCTAATTCTTAGAGCCGGGCACATTGTGTGCTGGCAGCCAAATCAAAGACCCTTCTGCCCATTTACTGATAACGCACACACACACACAGAGACTCTCACACACAGACATAGGCATAGACACAACAGGCGGGCCCGTAACATGGCATTTGTTTAATGGATTAAAAATAATACGTACATACAGTTCGGAAGGGACAGCGGGTGTGTTGAAGAGGGGAGTAGAGAGGAAAAAGACTGATAATAATCATAGCACGTATTCAGTGTGGGCAAATGGTAAATGTGCGGCGTGTCATAAATTAATTTTTGGAAAATTCTATAGGTCGTCCAATATACCGAAACCGAATCCAAATTCAACTACATATACCAATCCAGATGTCCATTAATAATAATAATGCCACGTCTCTCTGATAGACAGCCAGAAGATGAGCCGCACAAAGGACTTTACCAGGATAAAGGCAGGCCGCTTCGCTTATCAAAAGCGAGGCACTTTCATTCAAGTTTTTTGCACCGAGAGAAAAGAGTATATTCGTTGTGTGCAATTTCCGTCTGGCTGCCGGTCTGTCCCTATGAATGTAAATCATTTCGTCAGCTATGTTCGGCTGAATCTACCAAAAGCAGGCAGAGCCAAAAAAAAAGAGTTCTTAAATACATCCACTGCGGAACGAGTATTATGCAGTCGAGTATGACCAGAGCCAACATTCCTGCTAGCTTTTTTTGTTTTTCATATTTTTGGGGTTGAAAGGCTTTGCATTGTGGCCGGGCGACCAGCAGCCGGAGTGAAGCCCTGAAAGGAGCTTTTTGAAAATTATGCAAAAATCATGATTGGGCACTTTTTCATTATGCGCCCAGCTAATTAGCTATTCATTCAAGTACGCTGAGCAATGGGAAAATGCTGGAAAGTGCGGAGAAAACTGCAGACATCATTCACTGTTTGTCCGCAAAACCTTCCCATAAGCCGCATCTTAGGTGGCTTCATGTTATTAGGAACTTATTAATGGGGTTTTATCTTCCGCTGTGAATTTTTCACTTATCAAACCCGAAACTTCATATTTTATGATTAAACATATTCTGTCTTTGGATATCTTTCATAAAAATTTCAATAGAATCGACTTGAGCATAAATAAAATAGCATAATTAATTAAACTCGTTAACTATTGCCATTAAAAATCTTATGCAATGAACAATATTTCCGTTTTAGTTTTATATTTAATTAAATTAAAAGGTGGAACGTTAGCCCCTTTAACCAGTTTAAATGACAACGCTTATTCAACTCAACACGCCTCATAAATTTGAATAGATATTTAAGATGAGTGCAAAGTCTTTTAGCTGCTTTTTAAAGCTTTAGTAGAGGTTCCATATATTGTAATACAAATTTAAATAGCCAAGTTTGCATCCGTTCTCGAAGATGAAATGCAGATAACAAACTGTCTAGTTGGGGATAATATGCTGAGTATATTCGATAGACATTATGGGAAACCCAATCAGCTGCCTTTGAGCACAGGCCCTCAGCCCCTTTTGACCATATTATATGCTCACTTAGTCTTCATGCTGAAGGTGGGCCGAGTGCTTATGAAAGTCTAGAATGCCATTCAAGTTCTGTAAAAGACGCTGATTTTTGCGCTGGTAATTGCATTAAGTAGATTTAAAAAATATTCATATTCTGAACGTGTCCTCTGGTCGTTTTTTGTACACTCTACTCCCGACACAGCACTACAACTTCAGCTGCCTGACGCATCCACCATTAGACAACGAATAGAGGATTTTAGAAAGATACTTTTCATATGCATACTGTGTGATACATAATATGATGGCGACAATCTTCTTTGATCTCAGGAAGAAATCCAAACATAGTACGTTACGTCATCTGATTCATCATACTTTTATGACAGCGATGGGACATATACTGATACGATTACTTGGATATGGAGGATACATTGTTATAGTTGTCATTTTTAATGTCGTGTGATTTCGTCTTGTGGAAGCAGTATATTACAATTATGCAGATGTTTCGGTTCGTACTAATGAGTTCCCACAGCATGACAATCGCCTGACAATCAACGTGCTGCTAGTCGCCCATACCTGGGTATAGATTAACTAGGAAAACAGAGCAATCGAAAGACGAGACGACTGACTGTTTGTAAACAAACCGTTTTTCTTTTTAACTTTGCTTTTTTAATTGATATATTAAAAACAGTGGAATTATATTGAATTCGACTGTAGACGTTGTATACAAATATTTATTAGAGCTCCCCAGTCAGTAGTATAAATTAATATGTTGGAGATATTTGATACAGCCCATGTCGATCCCTCGGGACTCTTTCTCGCGACCAGTCCATGGCCTATGGTGGCCATAGTATCGTCCTATCTGATCTTTGTGCTGAAGGGACGTACGTTTATGGAAAAACGAAAAGCCTATGATCTGCGCTCTGTTCTTAAGGTCTACAATCTCATACAGATTTTGTATAATGCCTCGCTATTCGTAACGGTAAGTCTGGAAAACTTGAAAGAAAAACAGTTTACAACAACGGAAGCCGTTACAGGTAGTTAGCTACTTAATTGGATATAAGAACTATAACCTAAGTTGCATGCGAATTGTGCCTTTGAATCATCCAGACAAGAAGTTGGATCGTATGATATGCTATGCGTACTATGTCAACAAGTATATCGACTTACTGGACACCGTGTTCATAGTGTTGCGCAAGAATAACAAGCAGATCACGATTCTGCATCTAGTACATCATCTGTATATGCCCATCACGGGATATTTCATAATCAGATTCATCGGCTTTGGGGGTCATCTTCTAGTAATGGGAGTCTTGAATGTCTTCGTGCACGTTATCATGTACAGCTACTACTACGCCGCGGCCCAGAGCTCGACTAAAAACAAGCTAATCTGGTGGAAGCAGTACATCACTATACTGCAGATGCTACAGTTCGTTATTATATGTGGGCACAGCGTATGGACACTGATGCAGCCAAAGTGTGACGCATCGCGTCCACTGATCTATATGACGTTCTCCATGTCAATAGTGATGTTCTCTATGTTTACCAATTTCTACATACACGCTTACATATTGCCCAAGAATAGGAAACCAGTGAAGTCGGACTAGAGAGGTATAAAATTTCCGATTATAGTTTCAGAAATTATATACTTATTTGCCTTTCTGAATAGGTTACGTAAAAAATAACATTTCCTCGTGATTCAACGCGGTTAAATGACCAAATGCATTAATGATTTGAGCAAACGTACTTGCAAACAATTGAATATAATTAAGGTATTTTCGCATTTAGTAACTGCGCTCTTGGATTCGATTGGCAACACTTGCTTTTCGTATCTCAGTGAAGACACCCCTCAAAAATATGCAATATACCAATTTTGTTTATGTCAAATTAGAAGTCCTGCATATGAGCAGTCCTATAAACTGCTTATGATATATACATATATAAACAGTATGAAAAGAGTATTTAATGTTCAGTATTTACGTTTCCAATTGAGCTTGGCATAAATTTAACTTGTGTATGATAATGCAAGTCTTAGTATTGAACCCCTTATATACACATACATTAGTCTTAGAATATGCATTTTTGTCAGAGAAAATACACCAAGTGGCGAATAGTATAATGAAATAAGTAAATGGGTTCGAGTACCCGACTATGTGACACCCTGAACTCACACACATAAGGAGGCTCCTACTTCCTAAGGAATGAATGCAGGATGGGAATATCGAGAGCATGAATGCGAAATCTGGAAGGGAAGGAAAGGGATATTACTGGAACGGTTCAGGTTTTGGAGTTGCTCAAGGATGTACACTAACAATTCTACTATTACAAATTTTATGTTTTAAATTATGTTTTTTGCTTTAAATATTGGATTCGCAGGGTATACGAGTCCGCATTAACTGACTGTTAGCAACATTTGACACATGCAAACAAAGCTGATGTGCATGTGTATATCATGAAGGAAATATAAATGAAAACCATTTTCATTTTGAAACAGTCGCAAAACAACTCGTCCATCGAGCATACGCAAAGTATAAAGTAGTCGCAGCCACGAATAAGTATCAAGATGTTTGAGGTATTCAATAGACCACCTGCGGATCCCTTACAGCTGCCCTTGGCCGTTGGACCTTGGCCTGCAATACTCATAGTGGCGGCTTATCTGCTCTTTGTGCTCAAAGTGGGGCGCCAGTTCATGGAGCATCGACAGCCGTACGATCTGAACAAAGTCCTTAAGGTTTACAATCTGATACAGATCGTTTACAATGGCACAATATTCGTATTTGTAAGTCCAATTAACTCGAGTCACGTTGATGAAAATGCATAAAGATTCATTTTATTTTCGAAGATTTCCTACGTGCTTCTTGTACTAAAACCGTATAAGCTGAGTTGCATAATGGTACTGCCAATAGATCATCCGGTCAAGCCCCTTGAACAAGCTTTGAGCTATGCGTACTATCTGAACAAGATACTCGATCTGATGGACACCGTCTTCATGGTGCTGCGCAAGAACTACAGACAGATCACAATGCTGCATTTGTTGCACCACTCAATCATGGTGGTGGCCGTCTATGCTGGAATACGATTCAGTGGATATGGTGGACATTTCACGATCATGGGCATCTTCAATGTCTTCGTACACGCTGTGATGTACAGCTACTACTACATATCGTCCCAGAAGCGGGCGGTCAGTCAGAATCCCACCTGGAAGCAGTACATCACTATTCTTCAAATGATTCAATTCTTCACGGTAATGTTGCACAGTGTTTACACCTTGATGCAGCCCAACTGTGATGTTCCGCTTATAGCCATAGCGGCCGTTCTAGCCATGGGCTCACTTATGGTAGTCATGTTTACCAATTTTTACATACACACCTATATATTGCCGAAAAAGCCGAAGCAGAAATGAATACAGAATGGGCATTTAATATTTAGATATCCCAACCCAATTTTAAAACATAATGTGAATAATTTAATTTAATTTGTCTGTCACCTGTGCTGAATTGAAAAAGAAAATATACGAATGGAATACACTTGGAAGGCTTATCAAACCTCGATCCCACGTAGAGTTTCTGCTAGGCAGCTACTCAATTATCAAATTTCAAATATTCAAGAGAGTTGAGTGCACATATTCTAAGAATAACAATTGAGTTGTGCTAGAATTCTCAGCTGCTACTTTAATTAAGATTTATCGCAAGACGGTGCTCTAGTAGGGAAGTAGTTTTGTTACTATGTATTCGAGAAAGGGAGTGGGTTGTTAGTAAACGCGAAAATCGAACGGGGTTAAGGGCAGCGACTCCCTAGGCGGGTTTCCCCCATGAGAGCTTTGTTAATTTTTTCTCTTCAAGTCCTTAACCGGATACGGTGCAATATACATGGCTTTTAATGAGCCAACGCAAACTGTTTTCTAGTAAATGTGGCAAACGCAGAAATTGACTTAAATGAACAGAGAAATGACAAAGGGCCAAGTACTTATGCATTCTGTAAATAAAAGAAAGAGAAGCTTCTTTAGACTCATGAACTCAACAGTTCGAGAAGCATACAACAAACAACGCGCACTCAAAAGATGAAACATAAAACTTAGCCCCAGAAGCCCATAAAAATATAACAAACCACATTGTGCCAACGCGCACTTAAAAAGCAACCAAACCATCAGCCATCAGCCATCAGCCACCAAGCACCAGGCACCACCATCAAGCGTCCAAACAACATGTGGGGACAGAAGTCTTCAGAGTGAGTCTCCCGACCAATTGCCATAAAAATTGCAACATAAAAATTAAACCACTAAACGCAGCAAAATTGCGGGCTTTGGGGCGCTGATAATGTGCCCAGTTGAGTTAAGTTTAGTGAGCGCATACCCTAACTTGAGTTACTTGCGAATGTTGACTAGCAATGTGACTGAATTCGGGTTTACTATTCGATATGGTCATTTTGATTATAGTAGATTATAGTAGACATTACAATAAAATAGAGGTTTTATATAGAACTGAAAAGTAAGTATATTGGATATATCTATATTTTTTTAATATCATTTCTTGTTGATTCAAAGATTTTAATGTGACGATAAGTTCTCAGCTGACATTGATAAAAATTTGTCGAATATAAATATGCGATATTTAAATATGAGGTTTTGGTTATTTCAAATATAAAATTTGAAAAAATGCCTAATATATATAATATGTGAGAATACAATTTGAAGAAATTTCACAGTGAAATTTATTGAGCGCCTTTAGACATTAAGCGTTTCTTAGATAAAAGATGGAGTCTTGAGACTTCGACTTTTCATATTTTAAATAGCTGTCTTTTCTTTATTATTATTTTTCTCGTGTTTTTGGTCGACTTTGACTTTGGAGTTTCCTCGAAAAGAGTGCAGCAAGCAGTTCATAAAGCGACCCCCAGCTAGTTGTTTTCAGCTGTTTCGAGTCACCCTTACGTGCGAGGAGCAACTGCTGCTGCTGTTCATGTTGTTGGGATTTCGGTAATGATATTCAATAATAATACGAGAGTACATGCGCAAATTTCAAATATCGCATAATAAAAAGCACTTGCGCTGTGCCAGAACAAAATCTTCAGCATTTCAGGCATGCTTCGACGGCGCCTTTAGAATTTAATGTGCTTATAATGCCGCCTGCTGGCACTTGAGCCCATTTCCCATGCCCGACAGCAAAGGCGAACGCAGCTCCCAATCTTTTGAATCCGATACGAATTCGCATCCGACTCGGCGCACACACGTTGGCGTAATTGTGAGCGCAACCCTCGTCGCAAAATGCCGCCTCTTTAACGGCAAATGATGTCAATTTCAATCCCAGACCCAGTCAGAGTCCCATTCTCTCGCCCAAATATATGCTCGCCGCGTTCTCCTTCTATTCCAACGAAAATTGAACTTAATTGGTGCGTGAAGTGAGGATTTCATCTATTGCTGCCAGGCAACTATTCCTTCGCCAACCCAAGTTGCCAGAGCACGCACACACGGCCTGCCCAAATCCTTGCCTCATTAAAATTTGCCATCGAACATGAGCACAATCGACCCACATAGGAAAAAGAGGGCCACCAAATAAACAATCATCTAATGCCATAAGACTTCTGCTGCATGTGAGGCCTGATGCCTGATGGCTGGTAATTAAATATATATTTTTATGTCCGCTGCGGGAGACATTTGTGAAATGTTCTTTTATTTTGCTATTGCATATGGAATAAATATGGATGTAGATACGTATGTTATGTGGTCTTATATAACTCTATAACTGATACTTCATATATATAACTGCATATTATATAACTGCAAATGCATGACTTGATCAATAATGAGATTATTTTAGATTCTTTGCCTGCTCATCGTTCAACTCTTCTTACATTTCCTCCTTTTCCACTTTCAGCATCGCCTCCTTATACTTACTATTACTTTACTATCTTATTAGATGGAATATGCGACGTGAAAACAGTTCTGCACCGAATTCATTGTATAAGGAGTTGTTTATGTGATTAGCTGTCAGTGTTACAAAACCTTATCTAAGATTTTTAGTCTTATGAAAGTACCTACCTATTCGTCTCGTGGAGCTACAATCTACTCCCTTTTCTAGGGTATTTCATCTTTTACAGTAATTACTATTGCTCGCTGAGACATGTTTCCCTTTCAAAACATGCTTCAGCTAGTTATCTGGGAGATCACAGAGTTATTTAAATGAGAAAAAAATGCAGCGTTTACAAGGATTTCAAATTTCACAAGAAATGCTCAAATTAAATATTCAAGTTTGAAGTGTTACGGTGCGACCCTCGTGCTGCGAGGCAGGCAGCCAGTCAGCCAGCCAGTCAGGCAGGGAGGCATCTCAACTGATTAGCATAAATTCGTCTATGTCTATGTTGGCTGGCGAACATTGTCGACTTCTGTTGTTGTTGTTGTTGTTGTTACTGCTGCTGCTGCTGCTGCTGTTGTTGTCGTCTTTTGTCAACGTGTCTTGCATGGCAAGCAAAAAGTTTAGCAGCCAAATGCAGACAGGCACGGACTTCTAGCAGTAGGATCTTGGTGCAGGGCTTGGGCCGGGGCTTTTGGCTGCCTTGCTGTGAGTATGACTGTGACTGTGGCTGGTGCCACATGGAAACATGTGTCACTGAGGGCTGTCTACTTATTGCACGACTAATGTCAGTTGCACGGCTTGCCACGCCCCACACCCGCCCATGGCCAGCAGTCGACAAAAGGTTGCGAAACTTCCTGGCACACAAAAAGCTTTTTAAGCTGCAAAATGCAGCTGATGGAATTTCTTTAGGGGCTGCACACGAGTGGCTGGAGAATGCGGGTGGTGCTATGTGGAAAACTGGGCTGTGGTTTGCCATTCAAGAACAAATTATTTCCAAGCCGCTCACATCGCTGGGTGAAGAAGGACGTGCCTGTCGGCCCGAAGGCAACTCGCAGCTTGCCTGCTCTCAGGCAGCTTCTCTCTCTCTCTCTCTCTCTGTCTCTCCCTCTCTCTCTCTCTCTGTCGCTTTATTTGATTCTTTTGGCAGGTTTTCTTTACCACACATAGAAGTTCCCTTTGTTTTCCTTCTAATACCTCTAGGCATTTTGCATTACATTGGCCTCGACAGCTGTGAATTGAATCGAGTTTTCGCAGCCAGCCCAACTCGCATAATCTCACGCATTGCATCAATTTCTCACAGCCTACGCCTCCTGGCTTCATATCCTGCCAATACTATCGGCAATCTAATTAGCACAGTTTGTCTCCTCGCCCAGTGGCCCCAGAGGAATTTCGATTTAGCCCGCTTCACATAAATTACTTTTCTTGCCTCTTTTATTTTTATGCTACACAAACTTCTGAAACGACTTCTAATCATCATTTTAGTGCAGCCTAACTAATTGTGAGTGCGATTGAGTGTCTGTGCTTCTATATGTATGTATATACATATATATGTGTGCGTGTGTGTATGGCAGTCGTTGACAGAGGGGCGAACTTTACCAAATACAGAAAACGACAAAGCAATTTACACCTCAACTCTTCAAAATTCACAAGACATTGTAAAGTTGACGAAGGTAATGTGATAACGACCAACGCATGCACTTTAATACACTTGAACAAAATGGAATCAATTTTCTATTATTAAAAATAAGAGCTCTAGAATATTAATTGTGACTTGCTGGCTGATTGGCTCACTGCTTGATTTATTTATGTAAATATTATGATTGACTAACTGTCCGATAAGCAGAATACAACTAAAACAAAAATACAACTAAAAGAAAAAACTAAACAAACAAAAATAACAATAATAATATGATTTTCTAATCCACTAGAGTTCGGATGGTCTGGTATAGGTTGGAGTTTCGTTAGGTTGTATATATAAACTCAAATTATTGCTGTAATTACCTTGGGAGAAATACAACCTAGACTTACATCAGCTACAAATGAATTTAAATATTTATAAAATATTATACTGATTTGTCAGATGTCTCTTATGCGGTACCTAAATACATATAACCCCTGGATTGTAGAGCGCTGAAACATAAGAAGCGTAGCCAGAGCCCTAAAGACGTGTTAATGAAGCAGACATGCGGGCCAGAACTCGGCCCAAGTCGTGGTCCCTGGGTCTTGGTCTCTCGGTCTTGGTCTTGGTCTTAGTCTTGGCCTTCGTCGACGGCTGAATGAATTTGTATAACTTGCAAATCATGTTGACTGACGAGCAAACGCGAGAAAAACGCTGCGACTGTCTGACACTGGCACAGGCACCGTGCCTGGGCCTGGGCTGAGACTGGACCTGGGACTGCGACTGGGATGGGCACGAAGGGGGCAGACTGAGCCAAAAACTTTCAAAGTGTTGAGCACGGCGAGTGAAACATATTGTGCCATACATATTATGAAAATGTGTCTGAGGTTCCATAAAGCGCAAATAGGCAACGCGAGGTGTGAAGGGGGCAAAGCGAGCAGTTGGCTGTTCTACTAAATCAACATCATTAAGTTTTCTGTTTATAAAGAAAACACTCGAGAGCATTGGTGCGAAGTCTTCTTACTTGCTTCTTTTTCGTTGCCCTGTAAATATTGACTAAATGAGGCATATATGTGCATACAGCAAACTGTAATTGAAAGTATAGCGATATTAGATGGATTTTATGACTTGAACAACACTTCTCTCTTAGGCTCTCTCTAAATCGAGAGAGAGACTCTACAGACTCTACTGTAGAAAGTACAATATATTCAAGAAATGTTTCATGCAATTTACAGGGTATATAGCTGTTGGTCATTTTGCAGTAAAACACTCTTGTTTTTTTTGTTATTTTATTGTTTCTTCTTTCATGTTCACTTGCTCAGCTTATGTTTATGTATTTGCCGTTGCCGTTGCCGTTGCCGTTGCCAATGATGCGATCTGTGTTATCTTAGGCGGGCTTCGCTGCACGTGAGCGACAAGGATGGAAGAAGGAAAACTCCTGCCAGTTGGCACTCGAAAGAGCCAAGCACTGAACACAAATTAGTAGAGAACTCAGCCAAAAATACTGAACGTGGCGAAGAGGAGTATGTCTTGGCATATTTGCTTAGCCATTTTGAGCGAACTGCATTCACAAGTTACTTAGTTCATTTGCGCGCAGGTAAGTATGACCCGAGACTTCGGGTTAGATCAGGTGAGCTAGGGGAAGGGGCAGGTGCTGCATATGTGCACATCCATTATGTGTGTCGAACGGGCAAGTCAAACGAAATGTGAAAGACTGAAAATAAACAACGAAGTCACGAAATTGCTTTGTACAATAAATAAACGGGGGACAGCAAAAGTATCTTAAAGATACAAATAGCAAGAGTCTGGCATGGCGCACGCACAGGATGTGACTGCGTCCTAGACAGCCAGACAGCCGCAGTCAGACAGCCAGCCATATGAATAGACGCTCGCAATGCTCAAGCATGCAGCTCAAATTACAACCAGGCAAATGTTTAAATACTTGAGTGCCCCACAGCCCGGGCCCAGCCATCATGGCGAGCATATTAACTTTTACTTTAGCTCTCTTTACTTTGCTCTGCTTTGTCAACACAACAATTCACTTAAGACAGAATCGTTATTGTTGTTGTTGTTGTTGTCGCTGTTTTTGCTGCTGCTGCTGCTGCTGACAGTTGCAGTTGCCAGTTGCAAGTTGTCTGTTGCAAGCTGTCAGCTGGTTGCCTGCAAAGATTTTATTTCACACGAGCAAGTCACCAGCCCACGCAAAAGGCGCCAGAGAACGAAATAGAATTAACGTGGGAGGGCCTTACCTCGCTGACCCATTGGAGAGAACGGACGTCTATTAATTAAGATTCTTAGGTAACATTCTCAACGTGTCATATGTATATCTGAAATCTGCATGTATTGAACAATGTGTCCATAGTGGAATTTGGGACTCATATTATCATCATATACCTTTATCATAGCTGTATATATACGTTTCTATTTATCTATACATTTAAATATACTGGAAAACCAAACAAATATACCCTTAAACGCCGACTGGACAACTAATAATTCCCATGTACCAGCGCCCTCTATTGTGAAGAAAGAGAAACTCTGTAATCTTTCAGCAGCATACTGCCGACAGATTCATAGTGCTGCATACTTTTGGACAGCATCTTGAAATATGAATAAAATATTTTAGACAATGCAAATTTAACAGAGCCGTTGATTTACATATTTTGTAATTAAAATATAATAAACATTTTCTTACAGCTAAAGAGAACAAATATTCCTCAGAGAACTTGAACTAATCAGCAGAGCAAAATACCATAACATTCAATTGGTTATGGTAAAGTAAAATTCGACTTCTATGGTGGTGATCTTCACAAAGGCTACAAAACACTCGAGACATTCAAGAAAGATGGTAAGATCTGTGATTTCTAGCTGTGATTGAAGACAAATAATTGACATCAATTATTCCTTATAATTGACAGCGAATGATAATAGTTGTGGTGCTGTGCCTGTTTCTCCATGCTCAGGCCGGGACTGCGGTTAATAAACTATCAAACAGTCAAATTATAAAATGTGATCGTCTACTGGCCTTCTCGAACTGCGAACTGATTTTTAAGTGGAACTTTTTGTATCTAGACGTCATCAAAGCGATTGCGAAGCAAATTAAGGAGCTCCTAGCCAAGTACCCTTTTGCCTTCAAAAAGCTGCCCGACATCTACGTTATGATATCTTCCTATTTGTTTTGCGGTAAGGGCTTGTCGAAAGCCTTAGACAACATCTCAAAACTTCTTGGGGTCGGGATAAAAAGTTGCAAGCCAATAGGCAATTTTGTGTCCATTACCGTCTAGACTATGTCTGCAAACGTAATGCAATTCCCCTTCTAATGTCAATAATTTTTCTTCAAAAATAATAAATTAAGTTTTTTTTTTCATATCGGCATAAAGAAAGACCTTATATTGTATTCCTTTTAACTAAAATGGGAAGACTTGTTTTGATTGTTTTGTTTGATGATATATTACTATTCGTTTTATTTCATCCTCAATATAAATGGACTCACTAAGATAAGTGACAACACTTTGGAGTAATTAAGTATTAAATTCCATAGAAAGTGAGTTTGAAACGTCTAATAAACGATTCAAGAATATGCAATAATTTTAACAAATACAATTTATTATTACGCATGTATATGTTAACTTGTTTTTACCTTCGCCCTCTATCGTGAGAATATACAAGCTCGAAATGCGGATAGCGCTATATAGTATTGGCAGAATTTACTGCGGATAAAGCAACTGTAAGAGATCATAATGGTGCATATTTATAGACGTTTTCTAAAAATAAAATTTAAAAAGATATATACAACATTTTAATTTAAAAAAAATAAATAAATAAAAAAAAGACAGTTGTTCCTAATCACTGAAAAATATTCAAATATAAAGCTAGGTAAAATTCAACTAACATATTTGTTTTGGCTAAAACTATAAAGCAGTAGTAATATAATAATAACAATAATAATGTAGTAATCTGTTTAAATTCCATTTTTTCCAAGTAAGAACTAACTGGACAATAAGAATCAGGCTACAACCAATAAAATTGGGTTGAATGTGAGCCCGCTGAAATAAACAAAAGAGGAAAGAAGACTTCAAAACGACATTCGGATAATTACAAAAAATAAAATAAAGAAAAACACAGTAAAAAGTGCCTAGTCTTCTCATTAAAATATACCCAAATCCGAGTCGATATTCGATGCAAGCCAAACCAATACTATAACCAATAATAAATATACAAAATATTCTTAGCAAAGTAAAAAATCGAGTTTGAAACACGCACATTTGTTTCATTTCATCATCTTTAATGCTGTCGAGCCAAACAGGTTGTTAGTCGAACAATTTAGACAGCTTGCGGCTGCAGTTCCTCTGAATTGAGTGCGAGAGTGCGCTGGGGTTTCGTCATGAACTGCAAATCCCGAGCCGTTCGCTCTGCGGTCGCATCGTTGACGGGCAGCAGAGCCTCTAAGATAATGGGCACAATCTGTTCGCCCACCGATTGGAAGAGCTGAGCGATCTTAATGATGGTGGCGGGATCGGGCAGGCCCGGTATGACAGCACGTTCGTTGGCCTCGCGACGGCGACGCCTGCGACCCTCGTTCGAGTCCTCAACGGTCTCCTCCGAGGAGGAGTCGTCGTCTTCGTCCTCGCCATTGTTGATGCCATCTCCATCATTCCCTGGCATAGCCTGTATCTCGTAAAGGCTCGCATTGAGTTGCACATGGAATATGGTTAAATGTTTACCTTTGGCCGCGCCTCGCAGCTAATGCACAGCTGCAGCAGCAAAATAAGTGCCGCGAACAGTAACTGACGTCCCACATGGATTGCCATTGAACTTGCGATCGATGGCAGCTGTCAGCCACATTTATATAGCCTGCAATCGAGGCTTTGTTTTTAAATGGGCTTCATTTGGAATGGGCTTTGCATGTCGCAAAATGCCAGCAAATTGATCAATTAGTAGAAGCACAGTTCTAATTCGAGCTGCAACTGTTGTGGAGGTGCGTTTTCACGTTAATCCAATGTCTTTGACCATGCATGCCAAAAGGTCAACGAGTTCGAACTTGACAGCGTCGTTCAAACTCTATTCATTTTCTGTCTGCTCGCTTTTTGGGCATGGAATGCGCCAACGGGTGCAAATGTTTTATTTTTCTTTTTTTTTGCGCACAGCCCTACCCAGAATGCGCACAAAAGAAGCAAGCATGATTGATGAAAATGCGAATATCGAATAGTGAATACCCTAACAGACCTACATAGACTTAACAAGTTCTTATATTAAATTAAATTAAGTTGAGAGCTTAAAAAAATATTTGTATTCCATATATTATAATATCATATGATTAAAAAAACATAAAATATATTCAAAATAATTATAATTTTAAATATAAGCTAATATACTTTATTTATCGTCTTATATATTTACATTTTCATTCACGTAAACTTTTTTTTATAAATTCTCAGGCGAATGTCGTTGATAATTCATACATTTGTAGGGTATAAGAAGTCAGCAGCCGAACGGTCGAGTAGCATTGGCCATTCGAACACATTCTCAGGCAAGATCCGCTGCAACTTCATTGCGCTCCATTTGGGGACCAGGTAGCTTGTGGACGGCAGCTGGCGCAGCTATATAAATTGTAATTTAAACGTGCGTTCGACGTTGGATGTGGGGATATTATTATTAAATCAAATGTGGCTGCTGCAACGGCAGCACCGCCACCAGCAGCAGCAGCAGCAGCAAAAACAGCAACGGCTACAGCAACAGCGAAAGCAACAACATTGCGACAAGTCAGTTAATTGGAGTCGAGAGTTGTTTGAGCATCCATCGCAATTGCTGTTTCAGTTTTGATTGAGATTCGCGAGCGGATAGTTAGTAAAGTCGGAAAAAGTGAAGAACAAATTGAATACAAAAGAATTAAAAAAAAAAAAAAGAAACTATTGAAACACCTATATAATTTGCAAAAGAGTTTCCTACATTGTTTAATTTGAATCGTTAAATTTATTGAGATTATTTTTTGTTTTTTTTTTATATTTAATATGTTTATATTTTTTCTCTTCTCATTAAATAGTTTTTGTGCACTTATTTATATAATATAGTATTCACTTTCACTTATTCTTGTACTACAAAATGAATTTGTTTTCGCGGCTTAAACATATTGGAACTGCTAATAAGGTGAGCAACGTGGCAAAATATCAAAATAAAGTTATGCTACCGTATCCTTTTGAATTGTGCGCGCAATTAGTTGGCGTTGCCACCTTTCGAGCACGGTAGTCTGTGCCCTTAACAGATTTGCTCCTCCCACTAACAGCATTATCTAACAATCATTTTCATTACAGAGCTCGGGGACGCTACCCGTTACTGTTGCTGGTAAGTGGGCACAAAAACAACAATTATTCATTTAATTATATGCATTCTATTGGTTTATCAAACATAACTTAACAGAACAAAAGCCGTGGTATACTCGAGAATTTAACAGCATGCTCACTGTTTGTCACATTTGTTCTGTTATGTTAAATAACAGTGTCAAGAGACCATACTCATTGAAAACTTTTATTTGCAATAAACTCGCACAGTCGTCGCACAAAATCAGGAAGCATCACTTGAATCTGCGGAAGTCTACAAAGTAATTAAAGAAGAAAAGTTGCCAGCACATAGCCAGAACATTGAACAAGGTATGTATGAAATTTGAAGCTATTGTTTAAAGCTAGCCGACACGCCTCGAAGGCTGATGTAACATAAGTTGAAAATTTCAGCAGAAAAGTAATTGTGTGTACGTGCGTGTGTCTTATCAAAAATGCGTTAAGATAGGGCAAATATTGATTTTCCGTTAAAGAGTAGGGAAAACCACAGCTTCAAATTCATTAATGTGTAAACCGAGTGACGTCAGCAACGAGTTCATAAATTTTATTGAGTATAATTAAAGGGAATCAATTAACTAATACAGAACTTGAAGATATACAGAAGTAAATACAATTTTTATTTTTAGAATATGCGTGAACATTTTAAATAAAATTCATTAACGAGTATGCAGCATTGCCCTAACCTCGAAATAGACCAATTTGCATGTGTAGATCATAGAACAGTGATGGCAATTCTAGGGGTGGAAATCGGCTGAGCGGCTTGCCTAATATATTTTACATAGTGTAGGGCACAGTAGAAAAGTAAAACGTAGCATTTTTGTGGCCAGTTTGCGGTATAAAAAGTTCAAACTGGCTTGCTCCACTTAATATTGTATGAAAGCTGAATAAAATGGCTTGGGCTTAATAAAAAAAAAAAAGCCAAAATGGCATTTCAGGTCTGCTTAGAGAAAAAACACGCGACGCTTTAATAAACTGAAGCTCACACACGTATACGCACACATCTATACAAGCTGAATTGATTTTAATTGATAGACGCTCTCCGTTATTTGCTTCAATCAGCAGCTTTGTCAGTCGAGATGGTGAAGGAAGAGAACTTTGCGGCCGATGGCGCCGACGAGGAGATGTTAGGCGCAGGCACAGCCGATGAGAAACTTACGGAGCGTCGCGACGAGGTCAAATTCATAAAGGGCGATCAACAGAATGGCGACGCAAAGATCGACATAGGCAATCTGAACGGCAAGCCGGTAAGTGTGTGTGAGAGTGACAGCATGACGATTATCAATCTAACCCTCTATCTGTCTCTTTTATTTTGCACAGGCTTTCACTGGCATGAGCAAGGAGGAGCTAATGAAGTACGCCAATGATCCTTTCTGGGTGCGTTTGCGTTGGGTATTCTTTGTGAGCTTCTGGGTCATCTGGGTGGGCATGCTGGTGGGCGCCATTATGATCATAATAGGTGCACCCAAGTGTGCGGCACCAGAACCCTTGCCCTGGTACAAGCGCGGACTGCACGCCAAGTTTGGCAGCGTGGCTGATGCCAAGCCACAGGACTTGCAAGCTGCCCAGAAACTGTTTGCTTCGGGTGCCATTTACGAGCTGCCCGCTGCGCAGACCTATGACGTGAAGAAAGCAGATGTGGAGGCACAAATCAAGCAACTCGTTGATTTCTACAAGTCCAGCGACGTGAAGATCGTGCTCGATCTCACACCCAACTATGTCACCAACAACTCCCAGCTGTTCATCGATGCGCTGGCCAATGCAGATAGTCGGGCTGCATTTGTGTGGGTAGACGCTGGCAGTGAGCTGCCCAACAACTGGAAGAAGGTGGGCGGCAACTCCAGCGCCTGGATAAAGCAAGAGAATAGCTATGTGCTGTCACAGTTCGAAGAGGGCAACTACGATCTGAAGATGAATTCTACGCTAGTGCGCAAAGAGTTTGGAGATGTGCTACGACATCTACTTGGACTGGGAGTGCATGGCTTCCGCTTGAAGAACACCAAGTTTTATCTAGTCAACGATAATCTGGCCGATGAGGAGATCTCGCACACAACCACACAACTAAACATGGTGGACTATGGCTTCTACACCCACACACAGACCACATTCCAGAATGGTTTGGGCGATGTGCTCTACGACTATTTGGGCATGGTAAAGAATGTCTCTGCGGATGCATTCCTTTCGGTGGCCGAGGATATTATACGTCCTGAAGCGTACGTACTGAGCCAATCGGGTGGTGCTTTGGGCATAGACTTGCCCATGTACGGAGAATTCGTACGAACACTCAGCTCCTCGAAGACAAACAAAAAACTGCAACAGCAGCTACAACAAACTCTCATGGACACGGGCAACACCAGTTGGCTGCAGTGGAACTTTGGCGATGTCTATGTGGACACCACGTCGCATCCATCTGCACTGGCACTCTTCATGTCCCTCCTGCCGGGCGTGCCCGTCGTGCCTGTGGACTCCATTGAGTATGTGAATGTCAAGGAGGAGACCTACAGTCAAATCCAACAGATGCGTCTCTCGCCCTCGTACATGCATGGCGAGCTTAACATCTTCGAGGCCAATCAGCTAATTGCCTACTCCAGGTAAGTCGAAGCTCAAGAGATAACTATGTATATGGAAGTGAATTCTTTAAGCTAATCTAACTTATCCTCAACTCTTCATGCTTACCCATAAAGGCAAAGGTATATTCGTAATATATATTTCATTCAAATTTTAATTTCAATTCCATAAACAATTTATTTAATTTAATGTTTAATCGTCAAAGCTTACTAAATATTAATAATAATTTATAAAATTCATATTATATTGTAATTCCTATATTCTTCAATTACTTTCAATATGTTATTTGTTATATATGTTTTGTCAGAGAAATTTTCTTTTCATGTTTTCCCCATATCAAAATTCTTTTCTAATCTTATGCTCTTTTACAGAATCAAGTCTGGCAGTCCCGGTTACTTTGTCATCTTTAATCCCACCGATTCGCCGCAGCTGAGCAACTTCACCGCCGCTAACAATCTGCCCGAGAAGATGACCGTCTCCTATTTCAGCGAGAACTTCAACGATGGCAATGCCACCAACATATTGTACTCGAGCAAGGTCGACCTCAATGAGCTGAAGGTCTCACCTCACTCAACCATTGTTTTCACCTATGTGCCGGTCAAGAGTGAATAGAAAAACTCACCCAAATAAGAGCACAATAATTATACATGGTACAGTGAATGCTCGCTAAAGCAAATAATTTCTGCGTTTAAAGAAAAATTGATTGTTAGAAGAATCTCCAGACCAATTCTTTAAAAAAAATCTGTTTTAAAGAATTTTTGCAAAATATTCAAAATTTTCATATTTTACAAATCATTTTTAATTTTACTCTCAACCGAAAAGTTATTTTAAATCCAAGTAACATTTTTTGTTTGTTGAAAAAAAAAAAAAGAATTGATTATTCATGGCTAAACTTTCACTGTACCTAAATAATCTTAAAAATATATACTCGGAAAGAATCCTTTGATGACAACACAATTAAATATGTATTGAGCCAAAAAGTTTAAGAAGAAAAAAATACTCGTTGCCGAAAAAATATAAATTATATAGCTTTGTTAGAAGTTTGCTTTAAAATATGAAAGAAAGAAAATATATATAAAATATTCCCTTGCTGCATTTCAAAAATAATTAGTTTTATTTTTCTGGGATGTAGACTTATTTCGGATTTTCGAGTTTTTGGGGAAGCATTTTGACTAATCTAATTATAGAGAGAGTTGCTGACAAAGTAGGCTATACCTATTATTCAATGCATTGAAAAGACTTACATGTTCAAAAATCCAGGAAACTCGAACAAGTGATAAGAAACTCGATTTAGCTTGCGCCTGTGATTCCCGCGCGTTGACTAGCAATAATAAATTTTATTTGTCTGCAACAGTTAATTTAAAAAGAAATTATATACAACATTTACTACAGTTTACACTTATTCAGTTGCCAGCAATTCACAGATATGCAACAGGATTTTCATGCTGTTGCATTTACTTAATTTGATTTATTTTCTGATCATTCCGACACACGGCACCACTGACGCTTATATGCTTTTGTATTCTCATTTATGGCCTTCTTTTGGTTAATGAGGAATGCTGTCAGTAACCTTTCTTTAGATACTATCATTTTAGTTTCCTTCTAGAATAAGTTTAGGGAGCTTCTAATGCACTTGCCAAAAACATATGGTCTTAAATTTGCACTTATACTATGCTATTAACAGCATGCACTTTGTGCTAACTGCAAATGCTATGTTATTACAAAGGTTATCGATAAGTCTGTACCGGCGATAGCTTAGCATAGACACACACCACGTGCTTTAACATCCACTGGTATTCCGTTGTTATTAAGCGATTTATCGATAAGTCTATACCGGCGATAGCTTAGCACAGACAACACCCATTTGAAGAATTTGAATTTCGCGCCTAACCAAACGTGCAAATAAGTTTTTTTTCGGCTGCCTTTGACGAAAACTTTCAACCACACGAAAAAAACTGCTACGCATTTGGCATACGTGAGTGTCAATGTGGGTATTATGGGAATGGGGAACAACTTCTGAGTTTCAAATAGTTGCCCAAAATGCTAGCAAAACAAAAGGCGAACGCGCAACCACAGACAAATAATCAAAATCGACAAAGCGAAATGAGGCAAAAACAAAGCGTCCAAAATGTTTTTAGTTTAGCTCGAGGCAATGGCAGCCTGGGGAACTGCACGGCCACAGGGCCAGAAAGGATATGCGCACGTGCTAATGTGATTAGATACACACACGCACTAACATATACACACACATGCACGCACATGCAGACACACAATACTGGCTAACATACTTGGTTTCGCTTTGGCTAAGTTGTTAGAGGCAACCGCAACATGAAGTGCAGTTGATTGCGGCACACCAGCGGCAGCAACAACAACTATACCACGTACCATACTTCGCATTGAGTTGCTTCAACCTGGCAATACTCTACTTTGCAAACAAATACATATTTATCTAAATGTATATTTAAAAATATAAATTCATTTATGTAAATATGCAGCCATGAGCAGTGTAGTATTTCTTGTAAGCCTCAACGACTAGCTTTGTCACAAAACTAATATGCCCTATTCTCATTTGCTGCGATTAATTTGCAGAACTTGAACATTTGTATCTGAGGGATGCGAGATGTTAGATATGAGATGCAAACTATTGTTGCGCAGGTCATCATCATTATCATCAGATAGTTGATGATCATCATCATCGTCATTGCCAATGGCAAACTTTCGGCCCAGGCCGCAGCTGGCTGCATAAGTATCTGTAAGATACAGATACAGCACTTGCACTTGCAATTGTTTTGTCGCAACAACTTTTCCATCAAACGCAGACGTTGAAGCAAAGCCCTGGACACTGCGTCCAGCCAGGCCGAACTAATTTCATTGCAACATGCAACACCCTCCACTCCACTCTATGGCCAGGAACAACCCCCTTTAAAGAGCTCAACCCATTAGCTGGCGGAATGCAAAGGGATTGCAAGACTTTTCAGCAACGTTGTCAATCAAGCTGCTAGCAAGTCGGATCCTACAGCATCTAGATAATTACATTGTTTCATTAATAATTGAAACTTTACAGGCTGCTGTAGCGTATATCAAATCTTATATCGCGAGAGGTATAGATTTCCAAAACAACTATTATAATAAACAAATTCTACTCATGATATTTAGGTAGTCTTTTAAAGTTCGATTTGGATGAGTACTGTCGTCATGTCTCTCAATATATTATGGATCATTAGATCTTCAGTTCTCACTTAACAGACCTAAAAAATGATTATTTAAATTTGATATTTTTGGTATGTAAAGCCATAACATTTTCATAGCTATTTCTAAGCAACAGCTCAAACCAGAGTGTAGAGTGTCTTACATTGCTTCTCTCTCTATCTCTCTCTCTCTCTCTGTCTTTTTATCTCTCACTGTCACTCTCTCTCTTTCTCTTTCTCTTTCTCTCGATCTCTCTCTTTGTCTCTCTCTCACCTACTAATTAGTACCCAAATAAAGTTTTCTGTGACCATATTGTGAAATCGCGATACTGTGGTCTGAAAATAATGTGACAAAATTCTATATGCCACATATGCAACACAAGTTCACCAAGAATAACAGCAACATCAACAAATTGCTTCACAGCTAATTTGTATTGATTTTTCATCGCGTACACATTTTCATTTTTGTCGCATTTTTTGTCATTGTTGTGTTTGTTGTTCGTTTGTTTTGAATTTTCCCATGCATAAATTTTGCATATTAATTGGAGCGACTGTTCGACACGCCACGCCAGGCCACGCCCCCACCTCTTCATTATCATCTCTCTCCCTCTGTGTCTCTCCCACTGTGTCCTTTTATTTGGCCTAAAGAAGTCATCAGGCTTTGATTAACATTTTGTACACACGCTCCCAAAATGTGCTTTGTCCACTAAATGAGTTGCATCTAATTGAGTGACAAAACAAGGCAACAACAACCACAACAACAACTACAACCACAACAACAACAATCTCTGCACGCTGTCCAGTGCGCACAAACTGTGCCAATTTGTTTTAAAATGCATCAATCTGGCGCTCAATCAGTCCCCAACCACAATTTGTGACTCTGGCTCCATGGTCTCCACCTTCTGATCCTTTGTTCATGGCATCGACTGCATCCTCCGTCATGCATCCTGCTTCATGCGTAGCGCCTGTTCTGGACTGTTTTTCAATTTGCATGCAGGCGTCAATTACTCGTGCAAGTCATTCCAAACTCAACTCTAATACAGTGAAGTACAGTGAAAGCTGGCACTAATGGACAGCTCGACTGACAGCAGTCAGTAGGACAAAAATTAGTTCATTTTCATTCTGCTTACGAATAGCACAAAGAAATGTGCATTATTTATTGTTGTTGCTGTTGCATAAAGAGGAACAAATGAATTAAAATAACAATATATCATTGATTGTCAAGAATTTTCTCTGTTACCCAGAATGTTTTTTCTTTTTTTTTTTTTTTTTTTTTTTTTTTTTTTGTTTAATTTAGATAGTCCTATGAATGAAGTCTTAAAATTAAAGAACTAGTTTCAGATCAAATTGAAAAAAAAAAGTTCATTCATTTAGAGGCCTAAAACTAAATACTGGAGATAGACTGTTAACACTATCAAATTGACTGAGATTGTTTGCTCGACCGTGTATTCACTGTATTCAAGCCTTGCCTCTCTTTTTCTCTTTAGCTCTGTAACCTGTTTCCCCTGTGTCACACCTACTCTGACGCCCCCTTCGACACCCTCTACATGTCCCTTGGTTGTTTAAAAGGTTTTGTCCTTTGCTGTCTTTTATATGCAGATTACCTTTGCATCCTTTTCAATATTTTTTTGCTCTTGTTTTTGGTTTCTGCAATTTTTTTGCTCAAATCGTGCGCTTTAAATTACTTAACTGCGCCTCTTTGATGATATCTCTGGATGTCCGAACTTGTATTTTTTCCTTTGACTTTTTTTTTTTTTTTTTTTGGCACTTAATTTGTCATTAAACGCAATTTGTTGGGCATCGCCAATTCGACGATTTGCAAAGGTAACAAATCAAAATTCGTAAATAATGCGTAAATGGTATAAAGATACCCTCGCGCTGGCAAGAAGAAGCAGAAGGAAATCTTATTTCTCACTTGGCCGCAAAATCAACTACAATTAGGGAGTTGCTGCTAATCAAATTTAATGTGCAGACCATTAGGTGCAAATGGTCCCAAATAACCAACTGGAGAGGAAAATCAGAAAGAGGGTCCTTAAGCAATTTGAAGCTTTTATCGGCGTTTAACTACAAGAAATCGTATAGAGATCGACAGTACTAATAGCTTATTTACAATATAATATAAGTATTCCAATAAGACACAATCCAATTGACAAGCCTTGATTTGCTTTATCACATGTAATAGATAGACTCTTTAAAAATTTACGCAGTGTCTGACAATCTAACAAAAGATGTTAATTACTTATGATGTCTCATACTTATTTGTAATTGTACAGAAATAAAGCGTTATCTAATCGCACATATCAATTCCCTTTCACTTCACGTAAGATAGTATCTAATTAATTTCCCACGCCTAACTCAATGTAAGTGTTAGGTTCACATGTCAACTAGATAATCGTTAGTGCCATCTATTCAGGCGATGATGTTTAGAGTTATGCACAAGTTAGATATGACAAGTAGTCGACGAGCTGATGCTCGGCAAAAAGTTGACAAAGGGCTGAAAACCGATTTAACCTCATATACAGAATATAAAATGTTTACAATAGAGTGTCTAATACTGATAATAACTAATACATAATACATAATAATAACTAATATAGATCAATATACTAATATGATCAATATAACTAATATAGATCAAATACTTATATCATTAATATACCCTTCATCATTTTGGCTGCAGGGCATGCAAAAGACAGGACCACGAGCCGGGGTCAACGGCAACGCCAGCTTCATTCTATCTCGCCCTGCCCTGCCATCCATTTGTCGTCGTGGTCGGCTTCTGCGGTTGGCAACTCAAATTACTTTTGCAGGGTATTCGAAGGGGGGATAGAGCTGCATCAGACGAGGAGGAGGGGCGGAGACTGTTGTAACTGCTGTGCCAATGTTGGCTAAGTCGTGCAGCTTTGAGGTGACAACCGAGACAGCTAAACGTCAATTTGTATAAATGTTTGCAATTGTCACCGTTTCGCGCTTTGCGGCAAAGTTGTTAAAAATAAAACTGGGAGCAGGAGAGGCATTGCATTAGCAAGAGCAATGCAAGGGAGACTGGCAGAAATTGCAAATCATAAATAAATATTTGCCGGTATTTTTTTTAGCTTACTTTTTTATTTTATTGCGTTTTTCCCTCGCATTTGGGCCTCTTTTTCGTGGCGCTCTTTGAGAAAAAAAAAGATAATGGAACAAGTTTTGTCAGATATACTGTGCTCTTGCTTGTCATGCTCTTCGGAAATTGATTAAAAGGTCCAAGAAGGTGCCAAGTGAGTATAAGGCAAAAATATTCATGCTCTCAGAAAGAAGTTGTTCGCACTATTGACAACGGAAACATGTATTAAAAATGCATTACAATACACTGTAATCAAACAAGATGTACACTGGAAGAAATTTGTATCACTCTAAACATCAAGTCCCATAAGATTGGCATATTTTCAACTATACAATAATTATATTATACTAAATTATACTCT